AAAAAAAAAAAAAAAATAATCACGGTTTAACTTGAATTTTACGTGTTTGATATATTTAAGAAAATGTAAATAGGAAACGAACTCTTTCGTTCATTTTTCACTGCACATTGTACATTCTTTTCGAAGAAGGAAATACGCTTGAAAATACGAACTATTTTCACAATTGATTGATCAACTTTTTCTTTTTTTCCTTTGATTTTCGTGTCATTGTCAAAGAAAAGAAAAGATTATTACGTGTTTGTAAAGCCTTTTGAAAAGAGTCAATTACAATTGTTCATTTGTATATCCATTATCATTTATATTCTCCTCCCCTGTCGCATTATATTTGTGTGAAACGTTGCAAAAATAGTCGTGCATTCATCCCGCCTTGCAAATAACAAAGCTTCTCTTTCTCTCTTTTTTTTTTTTTCTTTTTTATTTCTCGTCTACCTCTTGCTCCGTTCTGCGTTTTTATTATCGCGCGCGAGTTTCTTTCATGTTAAACGTGCATAATACGTAATCGTGAGCGAGCAATCAATTTAATCGGTAACTGTTAATAACGATCGCAACGGTGAACATCAATTATCATATATAATCACGCGACGATATGGCAACAATGATAAATTTCTCGGCACGATGGATAAAATAGCGACGAATAACGAATAAACCTAACGGATGTAAAGACATTCATAGAATAGTTGAGCTCGTAGTAAATAATAACATATCGATAAATAGTAACAGTGAAAAGTATTGGATTCAACGATGCGGTTATTAAGTCCTACCCTAAAAAGAGAATTTTTTCTTTCTTCCGAAAACTGCATATATATATATATACTCGAATGTAATGATCTGTAATATAGTAACATTGATAAGGCTCATCTAACGCTCCTCTTTCTTTTTTTCTACTCCTTCGCATCTTCTCGTACATGTCAGATGTGCACATTCTTTGAACATAATACAATACATACTTTAACATACACAAATCAATAAGCAGTCATTGATATCGCGTATCGAAGATGTGTCTACATCGTATATTCACGTTATATAGAATCCGTGGTTTTTTTTATCCATGCCTTTGACAGATGAAGTGGAAAAGGTACAAAAATAACAAGAATAGAATCGGATAGACTAGACACAGTCGAACAAATGTACACAGTCTGTACTATCGTAAAAGTCCAATGATCGTTCGTTGCTGATTCTTTGATCAACCTAATCTTCGAATCATCTCGGACAGTTACTTATACAGATATCTCCTCCAGTCAGAGTTTCCTAGAACTTTCGTTCTCTTCTTCTTTTTTTTTTTTTTCTTTTTCATTCTTTTCGTTCGATTTCATTCCTGTTTTTTCTTTTTCTTTTTTTTTTTTCTCCTAAAGTTATTCTTCTATCTATCTTTAAAGTGTTCCACAGCGTTTCAATGGCACTCTGAATGACTTTATTTCTCGTTTCCTCTTAGACGAGAAGGAATAAGCGTAATCAAATACATCGCTTTTCAACGAAACAAGAATTATACACGGTACGCTTCGATAGATGTACGAACACGCGAGTGTTTTACGCACGAAACGAAAGTTAAACGGAGTTGAATATATAAACTCTATGATCCTTGAAATGAGAGTGAGGCTACGATCTTTCATTTTCGTGTTTCACAATACGTGTCGATTGACAACCGGAATTACAATAATTAAAATACAAGTTAGTTGTTGAAGAATTCTTCAAAACTGACAGAGGCGATCTCTTTCACGTTGCTGTTTATGTCGCTATTACAACGAATCGTACCCCGTTAACGATTAGCCTAGCAATAAAAAAGTTTCGATGCGAAACACAGAACGAAAATATGTATACATACATACGTCTGCCTTGAACTATTCAACATTTTGCGGGCTTGTACAGTTGTCTGTCTTTGTTCGAAACCCTTTCGAGACAGCATCTTTCTTTTAACAATAAGTTCCGTTAATGGGATGTGTAATTGAATTCGTAAAAGGATTCTATGACCTTACATCTAGATGGTATTTCGATAATTTTCCTAAAAGTCACTTGTAATTTGTAAAATTCTTTGTAACCTTTAGTCGACTGGTGT